AAAAAAAAAAAATCTATTAAAAGACCTAGAAGGCTGTTGATCTCACTAATTTGAGAAGAGACAGACAATTTAGACAGGAACACTAACAGGTTAAAGGGACACCAGGGATGATATATTTTCTTTGTTGCATTCTTTTTCCAGAAACTGTGAGATCCTGAAAAAGAGATGGAAATTCTTCCGTTCTTCAGAGCTCTACCTGACATTCAACAAATTGATCTGAGCACTTAAAAGCTGGACCACACAATGCTGTTCTCTAGGCCAGCTGAGTCACACAGGTTCCAGACAAACAAGGTAGGTTCTTTTTATTATTAGAAATTACTTTTTTTCAGAAGTTTAAACTGGTAAGTTGGCTCAAGAAACTATGATGTGAACTGCTGCTCAGCCAAAATCATATAAGATGCAGTAGAGCAATTCTCCTGTATTTTCACTGCCTTAAAATGTACTTGTCCATTTCCAAAGTAGGTTTGCAATTTTAGCAAGATCTTTATGTTTACAGACTTCTCAAGCAGATGGATCGGTAAATGAATACAGTTTTTTTAAATTGATATTCACAGAAAGAAATCAGTTTGAAGGCAAAGAGTACTTTATTGCAGATCAACTCAATCTAAAACAATATGAGCCTTAGAATCATAGAATCATTAAGGTTAGAAAAGACCTCTAAGATCATCAAGAGTGTCAACCCAACAATATCACGACCACTAAACCATGTCCTGAAACGCCACGTCTACATGGTTTTTGACCCCCTCCATGGATGGTGACTCCCCCTCCCTGGGCAGCCTGTTCCAATGCCTCACCACTCTGTTAGTAAAGAAATTCCTCCAATAAAATTACTAAATCCATTCTAACCAAATGGCAAGGTACTATCTATTTCAACATATGCATGTCAGGATATGGAAAAATTAAATCTCTGAAAACAATTACCTGTAAATGTAGATTCAAGCTCCAGGCATTCTAGAATATGACACTCTAGAACTGTGAGGTACTATAATAAGTAACTGTATTTTGATAATAATAATGTATTTAAGAATAAATTATTAAAGTATATCAATTTCTGTAGATTCTAACAAGTGTAGGAGTAACAAACTGAGTTGCTGAGTACCTCTAGTTCCTTCCATCTGTGCTATAGGAGAAGAGGCAGCTGCAGACCAAGCTCTACATGACTGTCCACAGTGAGCCATAATCCACCTCTATAGCTATGAAAATAGCAGTGGCAGACTTTGGACTAACGCTGACTACTACAGGACTTCCAACAGTTATTAAGTACTACATAAATAACAGAGATATACTGTAGCAGAATACTCTCATTTCAAACTCCGTTCTTCATTAATTACAAAGGGTCACACTGAAAGTTTGGTTGGTAGCAGTAGGAAAAAAATCTTAAAGCAATTAGAATTAATTTAAGAATGTCAGACAGCTTTCTTTAAATACTTACTGCATGCTCCAGCACAGCATGAGCTATTTCATGTCCCAGAATGAAAGACAGCTGATTAATATCAGAAGCTGCATCTAGTAATCCAGTGAAAACAAACACTTCACCATTCTGTAAATAAAATGTGAGCGAAAATTAAAGACAAGACACCTACACAAAATGGTGGTTTGATATTACTATTAATTTTTGTAGAGGGTTCAACTTACTGGAAGCACAAAAGCATTTACTTCTGGTTCATCTGCCACATGGACAGTCCACTTGAACGCTGACAACTGTGGGATGTCCTTATTGCTTTCTGATAAATGACTAACAACTTTCTCCACGGCCTGATAGCGCTCATCTGTCTCAGGTAACATTTTACCTTCAAGTTTCTCCATCCACTAAAGAAGAAAAATTAATAGATTGCCATGCAGAACAAACACATACTAATCGATTAACTAATAAACTAATTTAGTGGCTACACACAACTTAGTTAAATCTAAGTTTTAATACATTTCTCTTTCATATAGCAAATATATTGGAGCTCAGGCTTTCAGACCTACAAGTTAAGGATTAATAAATATAAAAGGAAAGAAACTGACCACAGATCAAAATAAGATAGTATAAACATGGTCCTGCAGCCTCCTGTATCTGGCATTTTCTTAATACACAGCTAACCCTGGCGCTACAGTTTGGCAAACCTTCCTATACCTGCCTGGATTTCCATCTAAATTCGTAATTTTTCTACACCTGTATATTTCTGTTGTAATTTGTAAGGTGGACAAACTTATACAAAAGCAGTAATTTGAATATATCTTTCTGCTACTTCTGTTCTTGTCTCCCTTTCTCAGTTAAACAAGAATACAGTGACACATACATACATTATAAAGTTTTACTGACTTTAGAACAGTCACAAAACTCAAAGTTGTAGAAATTAGCAAAATGGACAGTTTAAAAGAAAGCAATTGAAGAAAAATGAGCTGATCCAATGGAAAAAAAAAGGAAGTACAATTGAATGCAGGTGGAGAGTATTACCTTCCAGAGCAACAGCTTAAAAGAGAAGACCTTGAACAAGTGCCAAACTAAGCTCAAATCAGCACTGAAAATGAGACATCTCAGCACATACCTATCAGCTATGCTTTTATCACTTCTTCTAGAGTTCTATATTTCTTGTTATATTACAGTAACAGAGCTAGAAATGTTTGCCAAATACACATAATGTGCTCTTTAACTATCCTGTGCCTCTGAGTGGTTTGCTGACAGAAACTTTAAAAGAATGGACACAAGAGGAGGGGAAAACTGATGTAAGTGCTCTGCAGGGTTCCAAGTATGAAGTTTAGAAGTTATCAAGGACACCACAAAGTTCATGTGCCCATCTCATTAACTGGATTAGCTCATTGCTAAAAAACAAACAAACAAACTAAAACAACCAAAAGCAAACATTAGCAGTTTTGGCGTGTTTTGAGTTTTTCTCAAAAATCTTACCGTATCATATTCCATCTGTGCCAGCTGCTTTAAATGCTCTTTCCTAAAGACCAACAGTCGAGTGCGCCCAGTGATGGGTGTCTCCTCCAAGTGAGTATAATAAAACACAGCAAATGAAACTCCTAAGCTACCAACACCCAGGAGTATCTTCCATTTATTTTTTCTTATGCTTTCTTTAAAAACTTCCCGCTTATTAGCAGGTAGTGCCTGCCACCATTTTCTTATGCCTCTGTAAGATACAAACAGTTTTAACTTAGGACATAGGTAAAATGGAATTTGTTAGTGTCAGCCCTTGCTGTATTATCTACTACAGTCTCACTTCAAGTAAGAGTTTATGAAAGGTTTTACTGTAACTGGCTTCTACTCCAACCCACTTCCCTCCTCCCACAGAAGAAGAAATGCTCCTTAACATCTTTTAAAATTAAATGAGAAGGAGAAGAGCAAAAGATACATCTAACACCTCTGATAGTGGAAATCATTTCCTGTTGACCAAACTGTCTGTCTAGGCCCCAGTCCTACAGAATTTTGCATAGATATTAAAATGACAACACTAAAAATATACCTATTATTCTCCACAAACTCAAGCACACATCTTTGCATAACGGGGTCTTACACTGAGAGAGGAAGCAAGATAGTATTTTACCTGCCGAAAATTATAGCAAATAACTTCTGAATTGGCTTAACAATAATCCAGAAAAAAGGAGCTGGTGCAGCCTGAAACAATGGCGATGTACGAAAACACCTGATGATCTGAATGTTCTGAGCAGAAAAACAACGTGGGAGTTGCCCTGCAGAACTGATCTGCAAGGTTGTGGTCTTCTCCCCCAGTGTCCGGGAAGACTGGAAGCAAAACCTTCCCAAACTGTGGCGTGCATTCTTGTATACTTCTGTATTTGAGGCACTCAAGGGATACCTCTGTCCTTTACAGATGACGTTTCTACGGTAGTCAGATCTTCCAGTTGGAAAACAGTTTCTAGTATTTCCACTCAAATATAGCCTTTGGCACCTATCTCGTGTACAACTGACTTGAGTTTGGCAATGTTCTGCATATGACCTGTACAGATTACTGCACTTGCCCTGCTTGGTGAAGGCAGCTAAATGAAAGAAAATGCAGTTCCTGCTTGGCAACTTTAGGCTGCGGATTATATTCATAACTTCTTTTGTTGGTTACCCTGAAACAAAAAAACAAAAATAGCATAGAAGTATTAAGAAAACCACCCTTGGGTGTTTCCAGCAAACTCTAAGCCATTACTTCATTTCATCTGACATATACCATGCATTTGTCAACAGTTGCATTGCACAATAGAAGTCGCCGTTACATCTGTATCCTGTAACACTTTCAAGGTACCAATCTGTTTTGACTGTGCAAAAGCTCCTGTCTTCTATCACAGGGAACAAAACAGCGTGTGGTTTTTCTTTTGCTTTTATTACCCCCAGATCAGAATGACTGAAGGTGTCCCGTGGTAAAGGTGTCCATCATCACGTTTCTGGGCTGGGCTCCTGGCCACAGCTGCCACCCACACATACTGAGGAGAACCAGGATCCAGGGAGAATTTTGCTAATACCTCGCTACTGAACTCAAGGGGCGTATTTGCTGCACCCAGCCTAGAAACAAGACGACTCAACGCAGCGAAACCGAGCGTCTCTCGGCCGGGAGCCGCTTACTCAGGGGGCAGGGAAACGGAGGAGCCTTCCCGCCGGGCAGGCCCCGGCC